AACGTGGATGGTCGTAAATGTTGACTATTCTCCAACCGTTGCAGGATACGTCTGTACTGGAAGTGATAGGGTTATAAATTTCAGGAGCAGAGACATGAAACTATACCTAATTTAAAACGGTTGACATTAATCCGGTGTTGATACTTTGACGAAAATCAGGTAGTCTTCGTTGGAATATGGGCATGCCCTGTAGATTGACTTGAAATGAACATTATGGCGCTAGAAGCGAACTGTAGTAGGTTCCAGTTCCAGGGTGAATACCAGCACTAAAGTGAGTGTAAATTCGGTTGACGAGTACAAAATAGGACGGAAGACATACTGGGTTCCACTGTTAGCCACATTCTATCTATTTTATTACATTATATTTTAGCCGTAGCTTTCGTGTACAACCACGTGAATCAGAGGAGTAAGGTAATGTAACACATGAGATAGATTGTCTAAAGGATAAATCTAGACATAGGTTAGTGATCATAGGAGGGACATATCGTGACCCACGTTGACTTCCTGATGACATTTAACTAAGCTCTATCTGTACCTGTAGTGAGGTCGATTGTTGTTTCACGGTTGGAGATTTCCTCACCTCAAATATCAACTGTGAGGGTTGGTGTTTTCAAAGCAGCCACCTGACAAATATTATTCGATTTGTAACCATACAGTTTACATTGTATGGTGTACGTTTAGAGTAACATTCGAGTCCATAATATTACCTTCGTTCTACGGTCCACACTTAAGCTATCAAATCGCTCATTATGGGTCGATAAACCTGAAAGCAGCTACCACGTAGAGAATCGCTCCTGTCAGTAAGCCATCATTTAGGTGCAAACAGCAAAAATAATTCACATATTACTTAACAAGAACATAGCAACATGCGACACTTTTTTGGAAGGCTAGTTAGCATACGACAGCCATATTTTCCCAAAACTATTATTTTGCATACTAAGCGGAGAACAAAACGTAGAGATGGGATTTAGCCGTTATTATAGCATGAAATTCAGAGTCAGGTTTGACCAAATCTTAGACTTAAGCAAACTATCTGAAATAGGTTTGCGCTGTGGGGATATTTGGCAGTTCTGCCAATACGCCACTGAGATCCCATATGCAGGACCAGTACGTGTTTCTAGATAAGCGATTCGAGCCATTATTAATCACGGTACTCACCGAAAATTAACAATAATAATAATACTATTTGTTCTCGAGTAACAGCGTGTTACAAGGTGCAAGTCAGTTTACAGGTTACATGAAATTGTTGCAGATGCTACCACATTTACTGTAATAAGAGTCTGTTTTTGATAGCACCTTTACACCGTATAACTGACAGGAACAGTTTGATTAATCCTCATCTCCATAAGCCAGTACAAGTAGGAAAGGTGCACAGTAGAGTCTTTGCGAGATTTGTAAAATCCAGGAATGAACTTGTTGGGAAAAGTCAATAGTAAAGAGCGTGATACAAGCTGCGACATAAATAGCACGTACAGAAGGTGCATTTTTGCGTGGAAGCAGCATGGATAATCCACTGTGAATAGGGTTCTGAGAAAGGAGAGAAAAATTCGAGGCAGTTGTACACATATAGCCAGAGCACTGCGTAACCTTTCATGGGGAAGTAGACAATATAAGGTAGACATTATGAAGTACATTTTAGTAAATTGTAGTAATATAGCCAATAAATCAAGGAGTATAGCAATAAAGGAAGGGCTGTTTTTCTTTGGGAAGGGGATAACTAGTTATAGATGTTCGATTCACGGGATTATGAACATGTTTACATACCAATTAAGTCTGCGTCTCATAAATTATCCAGGATCCTTTATAAGAAGTAAGATGAGATAGATCAGGTGAAATAGATGTATTTATTGGCGATTTCGTGATATCGAAACGTGCTGAAGAATAAGCAAATGTACAGAGAAGCCGTAGCAAGATGGCGACCAGATGAAATAGAATCATTGTGACCGCAGTGTAATGTCAGTATATATACCAAAAGAATAAGGGCCATCACGTAAAACAAAAGTACGAATAAGCAAATATGCGATGAAACGTTCACTGGCACAACTGATTATAACGACGAATGTTTTTTAAACCAACGGTGATTTTCTTCGTAAAAACGAAGTCACTAAAGGCTACTGATGGCTTATATCCATGACTGCTATCATCCTTTATGGACACTGTTTCAGTCTAATAAGCACAGTAATAGTAGTTAAACTACTTAAAAAATAACTGGGGCAATTTATTAAGTCATTTGGAATTATACAGTCTGGTAACATTTAAATGACTTACCTATTTCGGGTAGCTAGTCGGACGATTTGTCTATTGACTCGATGTTCCTAGGTTTTAGAAAAATGTTTGACAACATTACTCACCCAGGAATTTTGCAGGAACTCTGGAGCACTGAAATAATCGGTACTATGCAAGAGTGAACAAGAAACTTTCTTTATTGTTAATTACGGAGTGTGAGGGTAAAGAGGACACTAACGGAGCGGAAACCGGTTAAAGGTGGGGTGACTTAAAGCACCACATCTGGTCAGCGATTTTCTTTTCTTTACTGCAGTAAACTACCGAAGCTGCATAAGTTGTCGATCACGTTGTTTTAAGATCATGACAGCATCTGGAGAACAATATTGTTGTTAATATTAGTGAGGCTAGTGATTTGGAATTATCTACTTTGGCAGAAAATCCACCAGCTTCCAGCTCAGTAGGAAATTAGATTTTGCTGAGAACGGATGGCTGAAACTTTATAAAAGTCATCAAAACATATAATAAGCTAAATTCTAACTTGGAATCATGAAGTCTGAATGAAGCATATTATACCAGTAATTGGAGGCAGACAACAGAAGAATGGATTGCAGTGACCAGTAATTGAAAAAGAGGACTCAGGATAAAGTGGATTAGAGATACTTGATCGGCGGCCTGTACACCATAAGGGATAGCAGACTCAGGTAGCCGAATAAATCAGTCATTTAATCAGCACTTGCTAAAACATATCTCACCCAACCTGTCCATTATATTATGAGAAAATCACTGGATTTAATTAGGTGGTTCAGCTATCCCTATTCTATACTACACAAGATCCGCAATCCTACTTTAGTGACAAACTGAAAGTGTAATGGAATAACTGTAAGTTCAGAGTACTACTCAACCCCAGCACCACCTGTCAACGTAGGCAATATCTAAATTATTCCCGACTTATTACTAAGAAAACTTAAATCCTCAAGCCCAGGAAAGTAATCGGGATGTGTCTTGAAACAGCATGCAGCAGCCCTCAGTCTATCGATATATGACCTGTTCAGGCATGCACTGGAGTCATACCGAATCTCAGCTAAATAGAAACAAGCTAATCTCTTTCCCATCTTTAGAGGAGGGGTTGGAAGGATCCAGCCCGTTACAGATGGTTCACGTAATATTTTTGAGTTCGCAAAAGCCTTTGACACAGTACACCACGCATTCATAATTGCGAAGTTTGCGGAAATGGGCTTCACTTGTCCACTTCTATCTTGGCTCAGAAACAGCCTTTAGAATAGAAAGTTTCGCACCAAGGTAAATAGAGTGCTGGTGAGTTGGCGAGTCTCAACGTCAGGAGTATCACAAGGGTCTTTCTCAGGTGCACTCCTCTCCCTGATATTAATTAACGATCTATTAGATGAAATTAGCTCAGAGTCATCGATCTACGCAGATGATCAAAAGACCTGCAGGTCCATTAGAAGCGAAGAGGATTAGACTGAGCCTCAAAATGACCTTACATCCATTGAGGAATGGGCAGTGAAAAACGGTTTAAAAGCAAATCATTCGAAATGTCACGTCATGTACATTCTGCCCCACATAACGCAAACGGTTTACACCCTCAACTGAAGTCCGCTCCCTAATGTCTCGTCGGAGCGCGATCTCGGTCTAATAGCCACTGAAAGCCTCCATATCAGTTCGAAGTATATAGAGGATTCAGCTAGGACAGATGCAACTCTTCACTTTATGCGAAGACGATTTGGTGTAATCCCCCCACAATTATTCTTAACGTTGTTTAAGACATCTGCGCGCCCACACCTTGAGGTTCACAACGTCATCGCACCCCGTCTACTTAAAAGAGACATAAATCTTTTGGATTGAGTGTAGAGACGAGCAACAAAATGTGTGATGCGGTTCAAGAATGTAAGTTACGAAGAAATATTCCAGCACTCGGGATTACTCCTCCTAAGTTACGGGAGAATCAGAGGTGATCTGATTATGGCGTACAACACATTAGGCATGCCAAACCATCCCAACGTGTCCACCTTACAGATGCATCACCACCACTCCCCTCGAGGTAATCCTCGAAAAATTGCTCATCAAAGAGCGAACACAGGTTCATGCACACTTCTTCCCACTAAGAGTCGTTGCAACCTGTATTGCTCTCCCAGCGGAGGTGACCACAGCCCCCTCAGTGGATAGCTTTACGAAGAGACTTGATAAACACGTACTCACATACGGATTATCATCTCCCTTGTGTACAAGATGTTCCTGATTCATGCCTTGAGACCTGCTGGTCGTTATTACTGCCGTCTCAGATCGCTTATTATCTCTGTTTCCTCTCGTTTGCTTACACTTCGGTCCTCTCGCACAATCTTCACTACCAATTCATAAACTAAATTATCCATTTATTTACTTGGTCCTGATATTTTATTATTATTAGCATTAAACCTTTCTCATTATTATTCTCCATATTGCAACTAACTGATCTCCGGTCTGGTACTGTGATAGCTGTTGGTATCCAGCATCCCTATCACGCTGAAACAAACGTTTTCATTCAAATCCCGAGACATACAAACTCACAACCAACTGACTCGAATTAGACAGTCGAGTGGCTAGACCTCCATCCATTGGACATCACCGAACACCTGGAACCGGACGGAAAGAACAAGAATCGAGCACAAAGAAATCAATTGGTTTACACTAGCTCGTGAAAAAGATATTGGATATTGGGGAGTGTCCTTGATCCCTTCATGGACATTTCGAATTTGAATCCTAGAGGTCGCCTCGCGATGAATCCGGTCATCTTTGATGATGTTGCTAATTCTGTATTCAAGCTACGGATGTATCCATATTTTGATATCGCTAACTACATTTTGATGAGTATATCGGTTAAAGAGGATACTCCTCAATCAGGTGTGTAGTTAATCTTATTTGTGATGTTTAGGTTCCGTAAGTTTTTCGAGACGCCACCCATTTTCTTGCTGGTTAGCTACTATGCTGATGTGCTTCGGAGGAGCAATTCTTTCTAACTTCATAACTGGATCACCACTTTTCGAATGTTTCGATGATACAGTCTCTGTCTTAACGGCCACCATTGTATGGTATGCTTTTAGAATGCCTATCATTTTCCCTAGGTATCTGATAAATTATTTTCCATTTGATCTCCTGTATCGATTTTGCAAGATGCTACCCGTTCGACTACTTGTGTGCTCATTAAAGGAGGTTCAGAGGGCGAAAAAGATTTTTATTGGTGTACATCATGGTCTTCATCTGTTCCCAGAGTCACCTGTAATGTGTGTTCTTCTAGGTCTTTTGAAAGGTGAGTATTTCAAACCAGGTGATATATTTTTACGTCAAATCCGATATTTGTAGGAGTTGGTAGTTTGTATGTGCGTCCTGTTTCAAATTATGTCTTGGGTATCTGTGAACGAAAAGGCAACCCATATATTAATATCGACTTGTGAGTACGGTCTTATTTTAAGTATCTCTTTAGTCTTGCCTAAGAAGATTTCTTATCTATGTACAGAGCGGATTTTACCTACCACCTTGTTAACATAGCATACGTAGATGATTTGATGTACACTTGATTAATCCTTTTTTAACATGCGATCTAGAATAAATGTAGATTCCCGACCACAATCTGAGAAACTGTAGTCCCCCTGTTCCCTCACGTTATTGATGATCGCTCCTCGTCTATCTTTATAAGTTCGAAAATTATTTTGTAATTTTATTTCTCGAATTCTTCCAGAAGCGTATTCTCTATTCCTAATACTTTTGTTATCGCCGGCAGATTTATTTGTTTTTCATTTTGGTAATTTCATATCAGTGGGCAGATATGAAGAGATGAGGTTGTTGTCAATTTTCACTAGGTTCTGTGTTTATGGCTAATGGACAGAAACACGGAGATATGCTATATGAAGACACCTATTTATTTCTATATTCACATGGGCAAAAGAAGCACCATATATATATATATATATATATATATATATATATATATATATATATGCACCACGAAAATGGTTTCATTTATTGTGTCGGCTAAGATACTACCCGTCTACCCAAACTGATTTCCTTCAAAGCCTTTGGTTCAGAGGTCTAGTCCACAACGCAATGGGGCAAGGTTAGAAGAAGTACATTAACCTTATACAAACTTTACTCGAACACTACTAGTTGAATGAGAGCTTATGACGGACTGTCATCGGAATTAGTTACCTCGAGTGGTGTCCATCAGGGCTATCCACTTTCTCCATTCTTGTTTAACTTAATCATTGGCATGGTCTTAGGGACGATACTTTGATCATCTGGCTTATCAGTTGATCTTCTGTCAAGAGATTCACCTGCTAACTTAGTGGGTGCAGATGACAGTTCTATTTGGTGAAGGCACTGACAAAATGCAGTCTTCTGACCACCTTAAACAACAGTCCAAGGATGTTAGGGATGCGATTCCCATCCTCCGAATGCAAAATGTTACTTTCATCGGCGCTCGAACTAGTGATGGGGAGTGAACTAGTTGATCGTGTTGACCGCGCAGGTTATTCCACTCGTTGTGTTCACTAAAATCCTAATCTTCAGGATTCCTCATCATCTCTATCTTTCTAAAGTTATCTCACTGAATTATACTTCTTGAATAATATTTTCGATCCCTAGTATTCTCCATTACCAGTAATTTGAACTGACAATTGCGTCTCTGTGCTAATGTGGTATGGCAACCTGAACTGATGTACGTACGTACTCAGTTCCATGTTGTAGCCCACTGACTGACCAACACCAATTGTTCCCTTAAGATATTGGATTCCATGTGACCATTGGTTTGGAATTGTAGTTTCCCAACTCTTCTAGATAAATACTTTCTACCCACCTACCCATTTTAAGTGCTGGATCTTCACTTTTTGTTCTCTCAATTTCCTTCACGCCATGAGAATACTGTGAGTAGGACTTCTCTCGGTGTCTTTATACGTGCGGCTAAATAAGGGCATTTGGGAAGAGCGGATCTTCCACACTGTCAAATGTATCACAGCATATGGGGGCTACTGTCCTTCATTCTACTACTTAGTTATATCTATTAGTGCGAGGGATGATAAATAGGAACTGGATAAGGACAGTGGTCCACATGGTACTTCAGTTCGTCCTTATATCCCACGTTTTTTCATATTAGTTGGTTCACTAAATTTTAACCAATTGATAGCGAGTTCGAACTACTTCGCTCATTAAGTTTGTCAGGTAAATGGGATCATTACCCTTAATTTATTATTTTTACGACGAGTAGGTTATAGTGCCATCGTGGTTTATAGTTTTCATTACTGTGCTACTTCAACAGGCTTAAAATCATCTTATTTTCCACTACTAACATTCTCTTTTAATCTCTTGTTATCAAACTCCCGACCATGGTTGCTACCTTGACTTGTCTATTGTGATGACCCAACCCAGCTATATTGGCTGGGACATATATTCCTGTAGGTCCTACTGTAGTGAATGAGAACACAGGTGGAGGCAACCGAATTGTATTTAACGAAAATTACAGAGTTACTCAGTAAAATCGGAAAACCATATCGTAAATCGTTCATTTGCAAAGGATCAGTTCATCCTATGGAACTGGACTGTTCCTGTTGCCAAACATCAATCCATTGTCACTCTTCATGCGTTTCATACAAATTCCATTGTTTTCTGACTCTTCCTTTCTTGATCTTCCCCCATATTATGCTACCAGACTTTACGTTGACGCTCACGCTATATACTACTTATAAGTAGTTCGCACCACAGCACCACACTACCATGCCAGGCAGGTCGATTGGAGACCGATGAGACTAAAAGCAACAACTCAAGGTCTGAGGCAAGGTGTTTCTCTCGGACAACCAGCATCTTTAGCGATGCTGTCCACTCACAAAGAAGGAAGGGGTTGACCCTGAAAATGTCACACCACACCTTAACCCATAGATTTCCGTCTCCTGCGGTAAGGCTTTTAAAAAGGGCGTAGCCAACACTTTAACAACTTCCCGTAAGAAGGCCGCGCGTGACCGGCCTCAAACAGTCGTTTCCTGGATTCTAAGATCACGTTCCCAGGTCTCTAAGACCAACTCTAATCCAACTTACTCCTTAGGTTCTTCAAGAAATACCCCTCCACAGTGTGGGCAGCCGGAAGCGACATCCGCCCTCATACCTGTAACAACACACGACTGACTGTTATCAAACTAACCTTTACATGTTAGGAAATAAAATCCGGAAACTTTATATTCACTATTCCCGAAATGTATCACTGGCGGACAGATTGACTTCAGTTACTTTTGTCTAAAGGTTTTCAAGTACTATTACTAAAATTTGACTTAATAATTTCATTTAAATTGGGCGTTCTGTGGGTTTAGCGAGACCGGAAAACATCTGGGTGGATCTTATGGTGTCACAGCTCAAATAACAGATAACGGCGACCATTTGCCACAACTATGCTCAGATAACTACCTATTTCTGGCAAACACGTGGTTGGGACATGTATTACGTATGCCTAACCACCGACTGTCGCGACGAGCTATGTTTTGTGGTGTAGGAGTAGGTTGGAAGAAAGCTAGGGGTGGCCAAACCAAAACATGGCACAAATCCATGAAGTCACTGACAAGTGGACTGAGTCATGTTGGTAGATGTAGGCTATCTGGTTGGGGTCCGCGAGACGAAAGTCACCAATGGTTAGAGACCTTGAACGACATGGCTCAAATTCGTTTGCAATGGCGCAAGTGCATCCATTCACTGTGCTCTCTCAAATCCTAATCTTCTGGATTCATCAGCACCTCTACCTTTGTCTTTCTAACCTTATCTCACTGAATTATACTTCTTGAATAATATCCTCGCTCCTTAATCTTCTCCATTACTGCTAACACTTCTATCTCTATCACTCTTGGATTTGAATTGACAGTTGCGTCTCTGTGCTAATGCGGTATGGCAACCTGAACTGATGTACTTATGTACGAAGTTCTGCGTTGTATCTGGCAAACACCAACTTTAAACATAAGGAAAAACATCTTTTGACAAATTGGCTCAACACTGGACCCAACTAGACTACATCGCTACCAGCCACCGGTGGAGGCTTAACAGAAGACTACCATCGATTCTCGAGCTCATGTTTAGGCTCAGGTCATGCTTTAGTACGCGCACGTATATGTATATTCGCAATATTCCACTGAGTAAGACGGACTCATAAGCAAGAAAACAGCTTCAGTGAAGAAATAACGAATCGAGGCAGTCTTTACGCATTGGGATTTTACGAATATGTAATCATTTGAAAGGTTTTGTTATTCCCTACTCATTTTCCCTTCTCCACCTATTTCATTCTTGTTTATTCTAATATATTCATTTCTGTTGATTTCCGTTGTTGATCCAAAACATGATAGTTTATAAACTGGACACGCATTCTGGCAGTTATCGAAACCATCAGGCAAAGTCAACATTTAAGGTTTGTATCTACTAATTAAGGAGCAACTAGTCATCCGCAAACATTAATCTTTACGATTTAAGGTTGGAGTTTGATCACTAATTCGTAGATGGGAAATTTTAATGAATTGAGAAATTAGGATTTATTGTTACTGTTATATTCTTATCGTCGCAAACATTGGATTATCTGACCAGTTTCTGTTCATTCGAACCTTGACCCCGGTTATTCTAGTTGCTGGAAGAAAGCCCCTTGTAAATAAGCGGTGAAGACATTTAACTTGATAATATATTATCTTCACAAAATTAAAAAAACTCAAAAAACTGCTCAATCATGCCACTGCATGAAACAAATATCACTTATGGGTTGCTGGATAGCGTTCAGGCATGTTGCATTTCTACTGTTTAGACATATTGTCATTGTTTTAACCTATCCATCCTTTTTTCCAATAATATAGGTGCAGGCTATTGTGAGATGAAATTAATACAGCGTCTTGTACGTGGTGTATGGCTACCAGCAACTAATGAATTTCTTCATCCCACTTTGTAAGATTTAGTTTCTTTAAACGCATGAATTTCTGCATACGTTTACATGGAATGGAAGATATGTTAGCTTTAGGCACTTTTTATTTAAAAGAAAATCGCATGTTATAGTTTATCTTTGCTCATAGATGATATATTTAACTCTTCATTTTTTTTCTGTCAATAAACTTTTAGTACTACGAAAATTTCGTTGCTCGCCGCCATCGGATATTACTGTCATCATTTAGATATAATACCGTTACCAGAAAATCAATTATTCCTGGTTATAATGATTTTGTTCGTTTACTTTAGGTAAGCTAATAAATTCGTATTTAACCTTTTGAATTTTATGGAAGTATAGTTCCATCTTCAGATTATTTTTTAAATGTTTTATTTATTTAAACACAAACATTGTTAAACCAAAATATTTAAGCACCGCATAAATCATTAGGTAGGTTTTTGTGTGTTCTAGGATACTATTCGGGTGCTCAAACCGAAGGTTTTCTCATGTCAATTCTCTAGCCTTCGACCTAGAGGTATAGTTCGCAAGGCAATGGAGCAATGTTGGAAGATGCAGTCTGATGGTAGACGGTGACCAACACTATTTGTTCCTTTAGGACACTGGAGCCCACGTGCACCATTGGTTTGAAATCATAGGATACTGTTCGGTTGGAGAACGGCAAGACTGAAAGCAGCAACTTAAGGTGTGAGAACGAAACTGTAATGTTAATTGTTCAAGAGTGTGAGAGTAGTAAGGTTATGACCTCCTCTCACACTGGTTGCATATCTGTGTTTATTTGAGAGCATTTGTAGAGACGGGTGTCTACCAACTTTCGGCTGTTACAAGGCATTCAGCGATCACAATAGTGAGTTGAGCTGGTCATAATATAATAACTCAATCTATCAACCGCAACCTAGAACTTCGTATGTACGTGCATCAGTTCAAGTTGCCATACCACATTAGCACAGAGGTGCAATTGTCAATCCAAATCCCATAGTAGTAGGGGTAGTGAAAGTATTAGCAGTAATCGGAGAGATAAGGGTTCAAAGATATTATTCAAGAAGTAGAATCTAGTGAAATCAACTTAAAAATAAAAGGATAAAGGTGATGAGGAATTCAGAAGGTTAGGATTTAAGAGTACACCAAGAATAAATGCGCCTACGCCATCGCAGACGATTTTGAGCCATGTTATTCAGTGTCTCTAACCATCGATTACTATTATCTCGCGGACCCCGACCAGGGTAATCGACACCAACATAACTCAGGTTAGGCATACGTAACACATGTCCTAACCACCCCAACTGATGAAGTCAGTCAGTCAGTCAGTTGCAACGTAGAACTTCGTACATAAGTACATCAGTTCAGGTTGCCATACCGCATTAGCACAGAGACGCAACTGTCAATTCAAATCCAAGAGTGATAGAGATAGAAGTGTTAGCAGTAATGGAGAAGATTAAGGAGCGAGGATATTATTCAAGAAGTATAATTCAGTGAGATAAGGTTAGAAAGACAAAGGTAGAGGTGCTGATGAATCCAGAAGATTAGGATTTGAGAGAGCACAGTGAATGGATGCACTTGCGCCATTGCAAACGAATTTGAGCCATGTCGTTCAAGGTCTCTAACCATTGGTGACTTTCGTCTCGCGGACCCCAACCAGATAGCCTACATCTACCAACATGACTCAGTCCACTTGTCAGTGACTTCATGGATTTGTGCCATGTTTTGGTTTGGCCACCCCTAGCTTTCTTCCAACCTACTCCTACACCACAAAACATAGCTCGTCGCGACAGTCGGTGGTTAGGCATACGTAATACATGTCCCAACCACCTCAACTGATGAAGTTTCACTACTTCATCTACTGATCTGCCATCCTTACCTAGTACTCGTTTCCTAACGACCTCATTGCTTACTCGGTTGTCCAATGATATACGAGCAATGCTTCTAAGACACCTATGGTCTAATGCTAGTAACCTACGAACATCTACTTTTAACGGCCATGTTTCGCATCCATATAGGAGAACGGAGCGAAATGCTGCGCAGTAAACGGATATCTCGCCTACGCCATAAACGTCGTAAGTTGGCAAAAGCAAACCGAGCTTTCTGTATCCGCGCTGAGATTTCGTCAGTCACCAGGGTATCATCGCTGATGAGACTAGACAGATAAGTGAAGTGACTATCACTAGTTCAGATTCCGAAGCAACATTTTGCATTTCGAGGTGGAAAACCGCATCCCAAACATTCTTGCATTGTTGCTTATGGTAGTCAGAATACTCTGCATTTTGTCAGCGTCTTCACTGAATAGAAGTATGTCATCGGCTGCTACCTTGACGTGGTGGTCGGGCTTGCCTATCGTGATGACCCAACCGGGCTATACTGGCTGGAACATATGTTCC